TAACTTTAATTTTAAGTACAAACAATTTGGCGATATACGGTAAGACAATTTACTTCAACGATTCAAACTAATTCCAAAATATCCAACATTTAGACGGAAAACGAAAGTATATTTTATAATCACAATATAGAAGAAAATCGGGAATACGGCGACAAATAGTTCGTAATAATTGTATATACGAAATGCGACTGAATATTTATTTCTAAGCGATCAAATAAAATTATTCGTCGTGAACTGCTGATGGCAGTTGAAAATACAGAGTTATAGGTACGCGATGATATGTCTATATTATAAATTTATAAGAAAATCCTCGTATAGAGAACGAATGAAACATTTTGCTATGCTGATGAAGAGTCGAAGATTGTAATTGTCACGACTAAGAGTAATTTAGAATATTTACTATTATTTAGTCAATAACATAATAGTTATACTATTTTATGCGATGGTATATTTTAAACAGTCTCACACTCATTTTGAGCAACTTTATAGAATTCGTGTTCTACATAAATCAATGTACGTTCAAGTTATGTACCTATATTGTCTCAATTTGTCTGTTGCCATCCAAAATAACTGATATATTTATGCTAAAATATGGCATTTAATAAAAACTCTATGTAGTATCTAAAGAATTAAAACCTCAAAATATACTTATGGATTTTGAATTATTTGCTTAAAATGGCGTCTTGCGTATTTTTTCAAATGCGCAAATTAAATGTAACCGGTTTTACCTACCTATAGGAATAGTTTAGTACAAACAAATTGGAATTGAGATTTAAAATCGAATACGACAAAAATGAATCAGACATTTTAAATTGCAGGGTAAAGTGTTTCTTTGGCGTGGCTTGTTTTACCTCCTACATTTTTGTAAAATTAATTTGTGCTTATGGATTGTCAAAAAGGATTTTTTTTTGCGCTAATGGAATATTTGTTTTTGGGCTTATGGGCTACAGTCTACTAATGTATTATTTTATTCAATTAATTATTTTAGACTTTTTCCTATAAAAAGTGGGGATCTTTTTTATCGGGACTTTTACTTCTGCGATTCATCATACCTACTCACTGAACTGAATATTTCAGTTCAGAGTACCTACTACGCACAATAATTTCAGTTTCTGGTTGCTATATGCCAACATGGTTAGAAAGAGCTAGAATAGAGATAGTCAATACTCAATACCTATAGGTACCTGTGTAATACTGTAATATAATGGGACCCGACTACGTAAAGTGCTTTCCTATCTTTTCCCAAAAATGTCGTTATCTTTGTTGTTTAACTATTCTCTCTCTTTCTTGCTATTAATGGCTATAAATGTATATTTTATTTATTCTGTGCCATTATAGGGTAAAATGGTACCAGAGTTTGTATGCTATCTTTTTCTCTGTTATCAGTCCATTTCTTTATAGGACTAATATGCTAACACAGAATATTCTGTGATGCTAATATCAAATCGTTATCTATTATCTATGCGTTGCATTCGGCATTACTCAAAATTCATTATTATTTATTTAATTAATAATGTCGCCGTGTTGCGTACTTGATTATGCGTCCTGCGATCCTGTTTGATATTCTGATTTCAATATTTCATACTTATTACTTATTACTATTTAGTTAATACTTACCTTCTGCTACACACTACAGAGGCGGAATCATAGAAAACATTATAATACTGCAGTTCTTTTCTTACTCACAGTCGAATTATAATCTTTCATAGTCAAAATTCTTTTCCGATTTTCCTGAACTATCGAACAACGACTTACGGTCAATGAGTGTGCATTTCAAAATGAAACACAAAATTTGGTATGTAACCAAGTTCGAAATCATGATGCACTATTTACTTTTCACAGTGTTACTGCAACACAAATTAAATTATAAAATTTGCACTGTAATTAAAATACAACTGCCTATGACTTACAGACTAAGTTTATACCAGCCAATAGAAATTGTATGGAAAAGTTCTGAGCATACCATACCCTTCTTCTGTTAGTCTATGAAATCTGAATTCACCACCGTGTATGTAAATTATCACTCCATAGTCCATTCATAGAATATTTCACCAGTATAATAATAAATTACCTATTTTAGCTCTTGGCTACCGTATTATAATATTATTCAATTTATTCCACTCATGTAATTGTGATTGCAAACTTTATGTACTCCATTATATACTCTGTTTCACTAATTATTTTTATATAACTTCTATAGCTTGTACATCTTGTAAAGTGCCTAATGGCGTCAATTTAAATAAATAAAGTCACTGTAGTTCACTCCAAACCATACTATATGGTATATTTTACTGTTTGACAAAATAGTTGGCCTGAATCATGGTCATTGATGGGTAATGATACTACCCGTTGTTCAGAGGTGTTAGGAATGGTTAAAAAATACAATTTACATTTATACATCTAATATCTGTTTCAGTAATTTTCCTGTTCCTAAATAAGGAATTCATTGAACTTATACATTTTTAAAATCACTTTAAAATTAATATGTATTTATAGGTAGCTATTAATAGTTTCATACATTTTACATTGTTAAAAATTCCAATGGTTAATAAGTCTGGATGTTGTGTTCTACACAAAATCTTAATATTATGAACAATAGTTACACTTAAATTGCACAATTAATGACTAAAAATGTAATTTTAGTATGGCATCAGATTTCTTCTACCCAAACATGGGCGGTGTGGAAGAACACATATTCAATTTGTCACAATGTCTTTTAATGAAAGGATATAAAGTTATCGTCTTAACCCATTCATACCAAGATAGAGTCGGAGTTCGGTATATGACAAATGGATTGAAAGTAAATTAAAATATATGTTAAAACTATTCGATACTTTTTCAAAAAAATAAATCATTAATTTTCATAGGTGTACTATTTGCCAATCAAACCATTCTATAACCAATGTGTCTTACCTTCAATGGTTTCTTCTTTACCATTAATTAGATATGTTTTAGTTCGAGAACAAATAACTATTATTCATGGGCATTCTGCATTTTCAACTTTAGCTCATGAAACAATGATGATTGGTCGTTTACTCGGCATCCAAGTAAAAATAATTTAGTTATCATGTGTAAAATTATAATAAATAAAAATATTGAATTTTTAGACAGTATTCACAGACCATTCATTATTTGGATTTGCTGACACTTCAGCAATTATAACAAACAAATTTTTAGAAATGTCACTAGCTGATTGTAATCACTGCATTTGTGTATCACATATTGGGTAGTTATTAATCTAATTACATAAATTGGGTTGAAAATTTAAAAATTACTATTTTAGCAAGGAAAATACAGTATTACGAGCTCGCGTTAATCATCATAGAGTTTCGGTCATACCAAATGCTGTTGATACAACAGCATTCGTTCCTAAGTTGGAATTAAGAACAAAAAATAAAAGTAATTATTTGTCTAGAATTGAATATAAAAAATATTTATTGAAATGTATTAATTAACTGCATTAACAGTTACGATTGTCGTGGTTAGTCGTTTGGTTTATAGAAAAGGTGTTGATTTGTTAGCACAAATTATTGCTGATGTTTGCTTGAAAAATCAAAAGGTTTGATGTGCTTTTAAAAGTTTACATACTATATTTGCCTTATTCTAATGGAATCAACAAATATATTTTATAGGTTCAATTTATTATTGGAGGTGATGGTCCTAAACGTGAATTACTTGAAGACATACGTAATAATTTGAATATTGGCGAACAAGTAACCTTACTAGGTAGCTTGGAGCATTCAGAAGTATGCAATGTACTTAATCGTGGGCATATATTTTTAAATACATCTTTAACAGAAGCATATTGTATGGCTATTGTTGAAGCTGCTTCATGTGGGTATGGTTTTAATTTTCTTTACTATAATAATAATAAAAAAAATAATATCTTTTTTATTTTGTTAATATTACAATTTATTTTCAATTTCAAGATTAAAGATTGTTAGTACAAGAGTAGGTGGCATACCTGAAGTATTACCTCCGGAACTTATAATCTTAACTGAACCTAATGTTCCATGTAAGTTACAAATAATTTTAGTGCTTGTAATGAATTTGTATTCATAAACTATGTGAATAGCAAAGCCGCTTAAATGAGAAATAGTGCAGTTTGTTAAAAAAATTTTAAATTTGTGTATTTTTAGTGTCAGCTTGGCCTTAGCCTCTGGGCCCCTCGGTTTTTTTCTTTAGGGTCTCGTAAATTTTTTTTTGCTTGATGTGTTCCTGGTCTATATAGGGAGTAGTTATTGGAGTGTTTATCGAAGTATTTAACAGCACGTTATATTTCTTAATAGGGCTAAGGACATTCATAGTGGGGCCCCTTAAAAAAATTAACCATGGGCCTTGGTCTGCCCAGGCTGACACTGTGTATGTGTAATAGTAACCAAACCATTTTTTTTTTAATTGCTTGAACTTTTAGCTATACTCCAAGGATTATACAAAGCTATAAACCAAGTAAATAGTGAACTTGGAGTACCACCATTTGAATGTCATCAAAAAGTGCAATCACTGTATAACTGGATGAATATTGCTAAAAGAACAGAGATAGTGTATAATATGGTTTCATTAGAACCACCAAAAAGTTTAGGAAAACAATTGCGCAGGTACAATACCTTAGAGTTAATTTCATAAATTATCTTAGTACAAACATATTATTTAAATTTTAGCTACATACCTACTGGAGTATATCCATTTTTACTGGTAGTATCATTTATGCACATATTGCTAAGACTTCTGGATTGGTGGATTCCGCGTTCAGTAAGAATCAATGATAGATTTTTGTGTAATATTGTTATTAAAAAAAATCATATGTTTTAGGATATAGACCTGGCTAAGGATTATAAAATCGAGGATAGTCAAGTAAACTCTAAATCACCAGTTATTGAAAATTGATTGTATACATTTTTTTAAAATTGTTATTTATTCTATAAAATGTATTTTGAATATATCAGTTCTAAAATAAACTTATTTATGGACGGATACAGTTACATATAATACTTTTGTAAGCCAGGTTCAACATTATTTTACTTTAGAGATCAGAAGTTAAATACATTCTACGATTATTTTAATCACAATTGAGTCATTTTTAATAAACCCATTTTGAAGAACTTCATCAATGGCAACAAATTCACTGTAGCCAAAAGCTCTTGGATTTAAAGAAGGAACTTCATTACCAATATTTCCGAAAGAACACCTTCTAAATGCTTCAGATTCAGCTGATGATTGCATTTTCAAACAAATGTTCTGCGTTGAATTTGTTGGATGGATTAAAGTTAATGTAATATGACCAGAAAATGGCCAAATTAAAGTATCATCATAATCACCACGCATCATGTGAATAAATAGAGAAAGGTTACGATTGTCTGTTGACATATTTATTCGACCACATACTCTAAAATTGAAAAAAAAATATTTTAAACATCAGGTATTTTGTACTTTATTTCATTGCTTTACTTGTATCCAGCAGAAGATGTATAGAATCCTGGAGTGTAGAATCGTGTTTGTAATGGTTTTTCTCTCATTGATTTTAAAGACTCCATAAAATTTTCAAATCTCCATATATACACACCATTGCATATAATTAATGATATTGCATTTTGAGATTGTCCAAACTCAACGATTAAATTATTAACCATTTGACTAAGTTGTTCAATATCTTTATCCTTGATGGCATTTTTTTGATTCAGACGCTCTATATCTTTATCTTTTTCAATATTACTTTGTTCCAATACAACTATTCTTTCATATAAATTACTGTAAATGTTAAAAAATCATTATCATCAATTAAAATGTATGATGTATTATTACTTTATACTTTTTTTAATTGAAATATATTTTAAAGAATAAATGTATAACTGACCAAAGTAAAGCTTTTTCAGAATTAGGGTCTTTGTTCGCATCCCAGAGTTGTGTAGCTTCTAAAGCTTTAGAACGAGCACCATCTCTAATTTGAAATTTGTTCATGAAATCAATATGAGATTTTGTAAGTAGCTAGAAATATATAAAATAATAGAAATATTTTATTTTCATTTAAATACAATATTAATTGGGTATGTTTACTTACAGTAACGTGTCGATGCACACTCATAACAAGGTGGTTTGATAATTCATTTTTATCTTTTATGGTATCCTTACATCCAATTAAATGAAATGGGCATAGATTATCAGCAAGTCCATTCATCTATATTTCACAACAGTCAAATAATAAATATTTTTATGACTTCTCTTTGATTTCAATATAAATCATAATCTACAATTTTCTTAGCATTGGTTTATATCCAAAATTAATTGATATTTTAAGTAGGTATAATGTATTAATAATTATAAAGTTAACTTTTATGAAACTAACTTACTTGGTTTTTATTAAATCCACATGAGGCATAATGTTGATCAGCTTCTAACAAAGGTATTGTTACATCACAACCAGTATTTAAACAAGCTACTTTTTGCTCATCTATTTCTCGTTTTGTATAGTTGTCGGGAAATAAACCTTCTATAGTCAAGGGTGATAAATCAATTGGACAAATTTGACTTTTCCGCCTAAAAAAATAATAATTTAAAATATCATATAGGTAATGAATACAGTTAATATTTTATGTATTGTTACCTATGTATTCATAAAAACAGTGTTTGTAAGGTAACAAAATATGGAACCTCAACAAAAATTGTATGTGTGTATTTTAATTAAGTGATGAATATGCAACAAGTATGCTGCTGAAAGAACAACACCACCACCACCACTATCACAACCTCTCCAGTGTCTGTAATCACCTTACAAATTGGCAATAATTGCATAGTCATATTATGAAATAATGATTATCTGTAATTGACATACTGGCCAATGTTCCTACTACCCAAAGATTACTTAATTTAAATGATTATTACACCTTGTCATAAAAAACAAAATTATTTTCACTCTCTTTATTCCAAAAGCTGTTGACACACTTATTGGAGTTAGAAGTATGAAGGAGTAAAATAATGTCTATCACTGTCAGTGACCCGGTAAAAAAGCAATTAGTTATGAAAAACCGTCCAACTGTCTTTATTAATATAGTATAATGTCAGTAACTCAAGTTTTAGATATTAAAATAATACAATATTCAAATACATTATGATCCTTAATATAATAGCTAACTAAAAAAACACGTAATAATAGGTATATTATATATAATTTGTTTTAACTTACTTAAGCCATGTATTTATACACTCAGAACAAAATCGATGTCCACATTTTGTCAGCATTGGATCTTTTAGACAGTTAAGGCAGATAGAGCATTCAAAACGAGGATCTATTAATGACAGCATTTTTGTTTATCTGTAGAAATAACAATGTCAATAAGTATCATAAAATATTTACCAAAATACATATATAGTTAAAAAAACATTAAATGCACACATCATTTTCCAAAAATGTCAAAAGTACCTACTTTTTATGAAATATATTGAATAATACAACATACTATAGGTACACCAACTTAGACAAACAGAAGAGAAATATAAACAAATCCTGAAATCTTTCTTAAGTATAAAAATTTTGATTTTGATTTTGATTCTCTGATACAACTAATATATATATTCTATTTGTGTTACAACAAATTGAGAGATAATTTTTATTTATTTTTTTATAAGTGCACGTCTCTTACCAAATACCAATCATCGGATATTTGTGATTTACTAATATTGAATTTATCACAAATATTTTGAATACTATGGAACACCTTTTGTGTAATATATATTTATCAGTATCCAGCAAAAATGTAGAGAATTTTAACTGATAATCGGTTATTTGGGTAATTAATTTAAATATTGGTAATAATAACAATAATTAGAAAATCGCAAGGTGCAGAAAATTGGTTGGTATAATATAATATGTGACATTAATATGAATTACAATTAATAAAATCAACCAAATACCTATTGGCAAATATTAAGTGTCTATTGACAATAATCACCTGTTGATCCTATACCGATTTATAATTCATAATTCTATCTACACTAAACACTTATATGTAAACTCGCACGGTTCTATTTAAAAAAACAAATAATAATTTGCAAAGCAAATAATATACTAAATGCGTACGATTGCATAATTAATTATCAGTCATACTGTATGTCTGTATTTGGATAGTAGATTATGTAGATACATCATACATACCACTTACCAGTGTCGTTAACAAAAACAAAACGTCCTACGTGGTGGACTTCAACCTACAGTACAACACTAGACTCAAGTACCTACCAAGAAAGTGTTCGGTGGACAACGTGATTATTGTAATAATAATAAGAATAATAAGTAATAACAACTATCACAACGAGTAATATTTACATTACGTAGATAATAATTAATAAACATAATAATATAATTGGTGAAAACAAAATAAGCGGCACCGCGGATTTAAGAATTTGATATTAATTCGTAATCACCAGTCACCACAGTAGAACGATTTAGATTATAATAACAATAATATAATATGCATATTATTAAGTTATTGTTAAAAAAAATTATATTTTTCAATTTCGTAGTGTCGTCGAGTCGACGCGATACTACTTAATCTATTCCGTGTCGTGTGAATAATGAATAGATATCGATTTTAGGAGGAATCATGTGCGACAACGTAAAAACCTAAAACTCCCTTGAAGTGATCTTTTAAATATAAAATTGTAAAAAATATTATCAATTTTTTTCAAATTTCAAATAAATAATTATATTAATCCGATCAATTATTTATCCTTATTACCTATTATTAATCATAAATAACGAATAAAAATATTGATCGAAGGATTTGTCAAGCTTATATTATTTGATATAACTGTATTAATTCTTCCGTGTTAATACTTAAAGTCAATGAACAATAAATAATGTGTATTTTGAATCCTGGCAGAACCTATATCACAGATTATATTAAAAATTAAACTAATATAATTTAATTTAGTTTAATGTAATCTGTGCCTATTTCTTCAAATATGTCCCTATTACTATTGTCCTAACATAGATTAGTATGTAGTACTTATTACGACAAGACCTGAAGAAAGGATTAGATTACATTTTTAGAATTGAATAGTTTCGTGAGGTTGCTGAAGTAGCATATCAAATTTATGGGGATTTAATTTTAATAAATCAAAAGGCTCATATTTACATATTCACCTATACGTTCTGCAATAAACAGTAATAATTAAAATACATAAATTGTACTAATGGCAGATGTATTCACACATTATAAATACTTACATAATAATTTATATTACTATTATTGTAAGTTATTTATTTTTCTATTAACAATACGATAGCACGGATTTACATAATCCGGATGATAGGTTGAGTTAGTTTTTGCCAAAAACATCGCATAATATATAAATAGTTTATTAGGGTTTATGATTGAGAGAGAGTGTGACGCGCGACGAGCAGTGTTCTGATAATCCGTTGGCGGGAGGAAACGAATGACCTGAACGGACATTACATATTGCGATGTAAAAATAGAGAACAATTTAAAATAAATCAATTATTATATTACTGTATTAATGAAATTATATCATAAAAATTAAAAATTATTATATTGGCGAATATTGCACGAGCGCACATTATTAATCGCGTATTAATCACGTATTCTCGTGCGCGCGCGCGCACTCACACAAACGCAAGCGCCAATCGTACTGTCGTAGTGCTCGCGTATCATATTATTATTATTATTATTCGAGCGCGGAACGGAAAACATCGTACTCCACAGACACAGACGGAATATAGTTGATAGTAATAAAATATATAATTATATCATCTTGCCCTATATTGTGCTATAATATTGTCCTAATGAGTAATATTTAATAACAGATAAGTAAACAACAAATCGTTTCGTAATATCGACCGCAACACGAATCGACGGCGCGAGGCAAATCATATTGTTATTATTACGAATCGATTTCCAGTGTAAACGTCGCGTAGGTGTTGCCGCCGTCGCGAACACTCGTCGTCACCGATGACGCGTTCGTTCATCGTCGCTGCACAACCGCTGTCGCACGTCTTCAGCGTCCGTCGTCGCGACAACCAGTGAGTAGTGACCGCCGAACCGCACCACAGATCACTTCTGTCCATTGCTGCGTCGTCGTCGTCACCTCAGCTCGCCATCGCCCGGACAGGCCGTCGTCGGCGCCAATCATACGCGTTAGACGGTCGTACGAAGGCAATCGCAAGAAATCCGGCGCCGGCCTAGCATGACGCTGGACTACGGTACGGCCAGCCGAGCAGCGCAACTCGTCGAACGTCTGACCAGCACTGGCGAAAACGACGTCGATTGCAAGTTGTTCGACGAAATCGAAAACATCTGCAAGTAAGTGTCCAAATCTTAAGTCGAAAAAGCTCAAAAACATAACTCGTATACTCGTTGTACAATAATAATATTGTCAACCACTATTATTACTACCGACCACCACCACTACTACTAGCACCACCACCATCCATAACGACATAATATTACTCTTGTAACTCCAACGAACAATCTTCGGTTAAACGCTGGGAACCTTTAACGTTGTTTCGTAGTATTACTCTATAAAAACGTACATGTCACTATGCCGCACCGTCAATCCAATCCTGACCGTCACCCTGTTTAGCTGCTACTGTAAATAGTCATAATCGTTCAATAACCGATATTATATTATATTAATATATTACCTGATATACCTATTAAAACAATTATGGATAAGAACAACGGTGAATCAGACTCTGTGGCCCGAGGCAATCTTAGACAGCCGACCAGGGTGTTTAAGAAGAGCTCACCAAACGGTAAAATCACTGTTTACTTGGGCAAAAGAGATTTTGTTGACCACATCACCAATGTTGATCCTATCGACGGCGTAGTGTTGGTCGATCCCGATTACGTCAAAGGAAGAAAGGTATTTGGCCATGTCTTAGCTGCCTTCCGATATGGTCGCGAAGACTTGGATGTGCTGGGCTTGACTTTTCGAAAAGATCTCTATATAGCATCCGAACAAATATATCCTGTTGGCAATATACGTACTCCGACTAGATTACAAGAACGTTTGATCAAGAAACTTGGCCCAAATGCCATACCATTTTATTTTGAGTTACCACCTCATTGCCCAGCATCTGTTACGCTGCAACCAGCTGCGGGCGATACAGGAAAACCATGTGGAGTAGACTATGAGTTCAAAGCGTTTGTTGGTGATACAGCCGAAGACAAACCTCACAAGAGAAATTCAATAAGGCTGGCTATTAGAAAAATTATGTATGCACCTAAAAAAGAGGAAGTGCAACCATCTGTTGAAGTGTATAAAGAATTTGTTATGAGCCCGAACAAGTTATACTTAGAAGCATCCTTGGACAAAGAGCTTTACTACCATGGGGAAAGTATATCAGTCAATGTCCACATAGCCAACAATTCTAACCGAACTGTAAAAAAGGTAAAAGTGTTTGTAAGACAATTTGCCGATATATGTCTATTTTCAACTGCCCAGTATAAATGTACTGTTGCTGAGCTAGAGAGTGAAGATGGTTGCCCTGTTGGTCCTGGTTTCACTTTGTCTAAAGTATATACAGTAAAACCTACTTTGCATAACAACAAGGATAAACGTGGCTTAGCTTTGGATGGGCAGTTAAAGCATGAAGATACAAATCTTGCTTCTTCAACAATAGTGAGCAATCCTTCACAAAAGGAAAACCTAGGAATTATTGTTCAATACAAAGTGAAGGTAAAACTATGCCTGGGTGCTTTAGCAGGAGAATTGACGGCTGAACTTCCATTTATTTTGATGCACCCCAAGCCTGAAGAGGAAGTGCTTCCAATATCCAATAATCTTGCTATCTGTGGTACAGCGGTTGATGACAATGGTGTACGCGTAGATAATTTGATTGAATTAGATGAAGATGGCCCTGCACCGTCTCACGATGAAGATATCATTTTTGAAGATTTTGCTCGTTTACGACTTAAAGCCGGTAATGATTAATTGTAATAACCATGTAAATCTGGATGAATTTATGAATTATTTCATTATTCAGTCTAGAGTATAGGTAAATAATACATGTACATCTACTGGTTGTTTTTGTCAAATAGAATCACAGTGAGTCTATATAAACTGTATAGACATCAGTGGAAATCATGAAAATTCCTAAAACTGATAGAAATTGATTTCTATGATAATTGTTGAAAGATGCAATGCAATTATAAAAAAACTTTAAATTTTTTGTTCGGAACTTTATGCGCAATACTGTTAACATTGATCTAATTATTTAGAGCCCAGGGGTAGGGCTAAGATTTATCATTTAATTCAATTTTTAAATTTGTTATTATCAAGTATTCAATACTCTATTAGACTTTTAATATTATTTTTGTAGCTTAATTAAATATTACCAAATTATATAAAAATTCACTACTAATTTAATATTATATAATATCTGTAGTTTTTATTGAAACCAAATAAAAATATTTAGATAATAACTATTACGTAGGCATTTAATTTATTTATAAATGGAAATTTAGGAAATTTATTGTTTTTAGTAATCTAAAGTTTATTGAGTAGGTACCATATAAAAAACTGTTTGATGACTATTAGGTTTAAAATAAAATAATTTTTAAAAACATTGATTGGACATTTGTACAATATAATTTGATTTTTTATTATAAATACTTTTTTTTACGATTAAACGTGCGCATTCAAAGTTTATTTAATATGTTTACACAAATAGTTTTAACATTCCTCCAATTGTTAAACATCGAATCAATCATATTTTAATTTATTTTCTAGTGTATTTTTTTATGTTATATCTTTTTTCTTTGAAAGATCTTAACTATAAATATAAATTATTATCTAAAATGCTAAAATGTTTATTAAAATTATCCACGCTTAAAAATTGAGTAAGTTCCTACCTAAAATATGTTTTATAGGTAGTTTAATAATACCTATTGATACTCAAATGCAGCGCACCAGCATTTTTTTTTTGTGCCAAAATGAATACATTTTTGTGTTTAATAACAATAATAATTTTTTTTATTTTTGTGAATTATTTTTGTTTGTTTAGTTATAATGGCCAGTACATATTTGTAAACGATATAATATATACTATTTATTCCACGGCATTAGGCTACCTGCGTGTAGTATTCTTTAGGTTACCAAATATCTAAGCAATTTATATTTTTTCAATTATGTTTTGACAATCGAAGAATTAGGTATAAGATTTTAAATATGTTAAGTTGAACCATTGTTAAATAATTTATGCAATTAAATAATGTGTAATAAATAATAGGCAAATTATCTGTGTGTATTGTGATTTATGTATTGGAAGTAATCTTAAGATAAACTTAGTTAGTTGAACATAACCAGTAATACTCTATGATCTTAAATTTTATTGACAGGGTTTTTTTTTATTTATTTTTTTTTTTACTTGTCATTACTAACGATTGGATTTGTCAACATTTTGGTACTGTTTATTATAAATTATAATCAAATGCAATGTCTAATTGATGTATGGATCTTAAACTGATAGTGACTATTGTATTGTTGATGATTGTTATTATTTTGTTTGTGTAAATGTGTTTGTCTGATAATCTTATTTATTAATTAAAAAATAAGTATGGTTATACTATATATTATATATATATATGCTAAACATCAATTTAAAAAGCACAAAATTACAATTTTAGACTTATTCAAATTACATCAGTATTTATAAATTATATTCTATTCTGTTCTGTTCTCTATTAAATTTCAATAAACTTACCTTAACCAAATATATTTTCTAAATATGGTTTTCATACAACTTTATTTAAAAATAAGTATTAAAATAAGATGCATGATTAACCTTTTTGTTAATTTAATTTTTCATGTTGGTTGTAAATAAAATTAAAGTTCACTTTTATAGGTTTATACAATTTTTGTTTTGTTTTGTAACAGTCTAGTCCTTTAAAATGGTTAATATTAATTATTAGAATAATGATACCTTGTTTATGGTATTAAGTCCAAATCTTAACTTTAAAATTATTGTATCAAAATAATATGTAGATAGATGTATTTATACATAGTGCCCTAGTTTGTAACACTTTTTTGAGCATAATTAAATTGTTTTTTCTAGTGAATAAATCTGAAGAATCAGAATATAATTTAAAACATACCAAATCATATTATGTACAATATAATAATTAAATTAAAATTGTTTTTTTTTTTTTTGTAAACGAGTTATTGAATAATTACCTAGCTAATTTTACACAATATACCTACATTAAACATTTTGTCAAGTTTTTAAATAAATACTTTACTGTTCAATTGATTTTTCAAATTAATTTCAAGTATTATATGTGGCTTAGGTTAAAATTAACTTGCAAAACAGGGTGAAGCAAGAAAAGATAATTTTTTTTTGACGGTGGGGCTTTAACCAAACCTTAACTAAAATTTATTTAATTCTATTAATCATCATCTATATCATCATATACTTACATCAAGTAATTTTTATTTAATAGATAAGTGGGAAAATATTTTTTTTTCAAATGTTTGTATGCACAATAATTGAATCTGATTTAAAACTAAGGTATTGAGGTATACCTAGCCTATATGATAAAAATTATAAATAATAATTCTCAGATATTTGCTCTTATGCACATGCTTAAAAATAATTCAAATACATATCAAATAAAAATTATTAAAAGCAATATCTGTTGACATTATTTTGTTGGGTGGATACACCTTTAATAATGTATGTAAATCCTAATTTTTATGTTGATTACTTTTAACGTTAAAAATAATTATTTTAATGTATGAAATGATTTGTATGTGACTGTAACGTTCCATTTGTATGAAACTTATTAACTTTTGGAGTAGAATGTAAAATAATATTGTAAAAACATAATAAATAATAATAACCAATGATTATTAGGTTACCCATTACTTTTGGTTGGCATAACTAAACTATTAACTTGTATTAATTTATTATATAAACAGTTATATACATATTTAGTATTTACCATCTTTAATTATATTGTAAAACATATTTATTTGTTTACTTAAGTGATGTTTTTAGCTTTAAAGCGTGGCTTTTTAGAACAATTAGGTATCTACAGCTTATAATAATATTACCTTATACCATTTCCATTTATAATTCAAATTTTTGTGATCAATACTATACTATGGTTAATAAAAATATAAATCTATAATAAAAAACTTCTCATTGATATATTTTTTTATCTTTCCTATAATGTAAATAATTCATAACATTTTATGATATATTTTATTACTATGTACCTATAAATTTATTCAATATTTAATAGGTACTCAATACTCATGAGGTGTATACTATAATTATTATTATATGTCATAATTTGTAATACCTATAATAGTGTGTAAAAGTAAAATGATTGGTACACAATAATCGTTATAGATACAGCTTTAGAAACAGTTAAGTATAAAATAAAGATCTGCTATCGATTTCAATATTGGGAACTGCGTTGGTGTAACTATATCGTATAATATTGAAACACGACAATTAACGCGTTTGAATAATGATTTTGAGCAGAGCTCGGTTATTTAAATTAAATTTCATATTGACCGAAAATGTTTGGAATTTTGGTGTCTATTGGATATTTTAAGTATCTGTGTGTAATCGTCAATTAATTTTCAATCTACTGATGTACAAGACATAGAATTTCACATTCATTACGACACTACCCGAGAAAACAGTGCAATGATAGTGAGACAATTAATTATTGCTTACTAGTTACTCTCACCGTTCAGCAGAATCTACAATTGTAAATGTTAACTCGCATAAACGTACTAAAGTTATTTATAAAAATAAAAATGTGCTGTCTGTATTGTAGAAGTTTCTGAGGCATAAGCGAGAAAATGTAATATTCATATAATATAATTATATAATATTGTCCATAGCCCGTTATTGCACAATGTTAATCTAACCGAAAAAATGTAAACGTATTATAAGTATGGAATATGCATGGGTGGACATATTACATAGACGTATTTCACATTGGATTAATTTTGACAAAATGTGTTTAATCCTATTTTCTGCCCGACAGTGGGTATGATTGTTGTACGATAGAGGATAAAATAACAACAAATTCTTTCACTACCCGAATCTTAATTGATACGCGTTGGGATGTAAGCTCGTTCATCGAAAACGGAAATCCTATGCGATTATTATTTTATTTCTAATCAAACAAATTCGGTTTAAATGTTTAATCAATACATAACATTAATCATTATGATTTATGGGCAATGAGTATTATGACGTAAAGGCACGAAATACGATATCGTATTATATATGTAGGTGAGTTGTGAGTACCGCATATTGTCAGTGAAAATATGAAATGTACCAAATAGGTTATTACTTATTATTTGAACACATTATTAAGATATTATATTACTGTGCGGTCGTAAGTAGGTACTTGATTTTCTATACGATGCTGTGATGTACTGATGTATATAGTACATACATATGGTTATTATTAATATTTTGTCGAAGTGGTGGGGCACCAACGTCGTATGATAGGTATAGAATGTACAGCGCATATTTGACTTTGTGTTATTATTATTATATTCTGTGGTCGGTACGTTTTAATTAAGTCCGGAACGCAATAGGCAGGAAGTACCTACTAACACAATTATTAACTGTTGCCAAAAACTGTGCGTCTGTATATTAATCGAGTTTCAGATATCCTTTGATAAACAACAGTTGTTTCAGTGTACATTTAAATTGCCAAAATGTTTTGTCCATCGTTTTAATTATCTATATTGGCTATTACTTAAATTCTCTGGAGAGAGCTCCCTGCCCAAAAACCAATATTTGTATGCAAATGCCTAATACCTAATATTTAGTATATAATATTTTATTTGTTTCAATGTTATATCATTGTTATCTCCCAAGACCCAAGTACTCGCTCAAGTAGAAAGGTTACAATTTCTTTTTTTATTTATTTATACAATGTAGGTAACCCTTCTCTCCACTAATGTTTTCGTCACGTAGTATAATATAATTATTTTGTACCTGAATACACAAAAAAAAAATTCAACTTAAAGTTTA